AGATCATCCAGACAGAAAATCACTAAAGAAACAATGGACTTGAATGACACATTGGACCAGATGGATCTGGCAGATATATTTAGAACTCTACACCCCGAGGCCATGGAATTCACTTTCTTCTTAAGTGTGCATGGCATATTCTCCTAGATAGATCACATACTGGGACATAAAGCAGCCCTCAATAAGTATAAAAGAACTGAGATCATACCATGCACACTGTCAGATCATAAGGCTTTGAAACTTGAAATCAATCACAGGAAGAAGTCTGGAAAACCTCCAAAAACATGGAGGTTAAAGAACACCCTACTAAAGAATGAATGGGCCAATCAGGCAATTAGAGAAAAATTTAAAAAATATATGGAAACAAATGAAAATGAAAATACAACAATCCAAACTCTATGGGATGCGGCAAAGGCAGTCCTAAGAGGAAAGTACACTGCATTCCAGGCCTATTTCAAGAAATTAGAAAAAGCACAAGTGCAAAATCTAACAGCGCACCTAAAGGAACTAGAGGCAGAGCAACAAGAGCACCCCAAGCCCACTAGGAGAAGAGAAATAGTAAAATTCAGAGCAGAAATAAACAACATAGAGACCAAAGAAACAATTGAACAGATCAATGAAACCAAGAGTTGGTTTTTTGAAAAAATAAACAAAATTGACAAACCTCTAGCCAGGTTTCTCAAAAAGAGAGAGCACCCAAACAGACAAAATCATGAAGTTGGAACTTCAAGGAAAAAATCTGGCCTGTTTGTAACAGATGTAAATGCTTAAGATAGGGCGAGGCAAGCTTCCTGTACAGGGCTACATAGAAAGTATTGTAGGCGTCTCAGGCCTTCACAATTGCTCCCCTCTGCTGCTGTCACAGGCAAACAGCCACATGAAGTTTGTAGACAAATGAGCATTGTGGTGAAACAGAAAGGAAACTTTTGGTACAAAACAGGCAGCAGGTTATGGCTTGCTGACCCCTGACCTGACATAGTGCTGCACGGGTTTTATACATAATATATTTCTTAGGATTTGGGTAAGTTGTCAATGCTGAATATGTAAGATTTGACCTTGTAGCTTTTTTTTGACCTTGTATCTGAGTTAATCTTAGCAAAGCCTGAGGTTACAGCTGTGCTTCTACATAGTACTTGTTATGTTCTGATTCTATAAGTCTTTGGAAGGGTTTTATTAGGTTTCAGGTCTAAAGATTAAATTTCTGAGACGAGGCAAAAAAAAGTTTTTCTTGTGATGACAAACAAAATGTAACCTGGTGTTCTCCTTCCCTACGATATTTATGTTTTAATCTCTTTCTCCTAAATTTTCAGGGGTCCAGATTAGATGATCAAAGATGTGCTCCACCACCTGCCACTACAAAGGGACCAACAGTGCCAGACGAAGACTTTTTTAGCCTGATTTTACGTTCTCAGGCAAAAAGAATGGATGAACAGAGAGTTCTTTTACAAAGAGATCAAAACAGAGACACTGAATTTGGGCTGAAGGACATTTTGCAAAGTAATGCTTTGTTGGAATTTAAAAATACAGGAAAAAAATAAGCAAACCACTAGTTATTATGGATATATTTTTTTAAATGACCTTTTTTCCTTTCAGAACACTGCAGGGGAATTTTTTTTTTCCTTAAAAGGAGAAATTATAGCACTGTAATACAGCTTAAAATGTTTTTAGAATGATGTAAATATTTAACCTTTAATAGTATAGCATTCACATTTCTCTGGACACTCACTTGTTTCACGGTGGAGGTGTCTTATACAAGGTGCTTCGTCAACTTTTTTGAGTAGTGCTTGGGATTGTGTTCTTTGGCAACTTGTTAGATTCCTTTACCTAATGTTTGTAAAGTAGAAACATAAATGAATCTAGAATTTAATTCTCTTGCTGAGATAATTTTTTAATCTTAATTGACATTTTTTATACTGAACCATGGATGTAGTAAGAAATGATGCTGTTTAGTAAAAAATAACATAATTGACCAATGTGTAAAAAAGTTATATAGTCTCATTAAAAGAATCTAGATTTTTTCTGTTAAAAATCATTTTCAGTGTTATTAGTTAAAAGCCATTATAAAAGCAACTCTAAGAAATAAATGTTTAGCATGTTTTGGACCCTTTAATTTTAAAGTGTGTGTGTATGGGTGGCTTAAAATTGTATCTTCTATTGCAAAATACTGCTGTAAAAGTTTTTAAGACCTAATGTCAAAAAAAAAAAAAAAACCAAAAAACATCAAAACCCCTGTGGTTATATCAAGAACGTAGGTCATGAAAATAGAGAACAGATGAAAACTCACAAAATTTAAGTATGAAAGATACAGGTTAAGCCCTCCGTTGTCATTAGGCTTCCCCCCACCTTCCGGAACTGAAGGTAGTTTCCCAGGGTACGTAATACAACGGGACATGAAGGAAACTTAGCAAAAGAAGACCCAAGGGTGGGACAGAGCAGGGCCCAGGCTAAGGCTGAATTGTAAAACGCAAATGTCCACACCCAGAACTCATTCACCTCTGGTTGCTTTTGACTCTGCACAGCTGGGATGGTATCTGGGGCTCTGGACCTCTGTCCTTCCTCAGAGTCTTTCAGATGACTTGATGGGCAGGGAGAACCATTTCTCCAAATGGCCAATGTTCACAAAAATAAAACAGAAGGAAGTTACTCAATCTGGAATCACATTAAAGGCTCAAGAAGAAAAAAAAAGTATTCTTGGTTCTAAGATCCAACAAATTTTGTCAAGAGTACTTTGTTAACACCTGAATCACTTTATGGTTTATATATTATATATAGGATATAATGTCCTAGATAGCATCCTTTTAAAAACTGCATGTGGGGCGCCTGGGTGGCTTAGTCGGTTAAGCGTCCGACTTTCGCTTAGGTCATGATCTCACGGTTCGTGGGTTCAAGCCCCGCGTCAGGCTCTATGCTGACAGCCAGCTCAGGGCCTAGAGCCTGTTTCCAGTTCTGTGTCTCCCTCTCTCTCTGACCCTCCCCTGCTCACGCTGTCTCTCTCTCTCCTAGAAATAAATAAAACATTAAAAAAATTTTTTTAAAAAAACAAGAAACTGCATGTAAGTTTCATGGGGTTTTTTCTTATAAGCATATTCAACGAACAAGACCGCATACCAAACCACAATAATGTAAAAATAAGTGTTTATTTTGTGTATACCATAGTTCTTAGACCCTGTAAACATTCAAGATTACTCCATTTAAAAACTGCTTTTAAAAAGTTATATACCCTACTGATTTGCCTAAAAGCCTACTATAATCCTTAATTTTAAAGATAAATATGAGCTGGGACAATAAACAAGCCTATTTCTCCAAGTTATAAACTGGCCTTGATCTGTTCAGTTTGCCTTAATGTCTTCCCTAAACTGCTGTCATCATTCAACAGCAGTAGTATGTCGCTTTGCTACCTGTCAAAGTGGACTGCATCCCCAAATGGTTATCTGTAGTGAAAGAACACAAAGATGAAATTTTACTTAACTTTTTACTGATAAAAGCAGGAGTTCAAACAGGATTAACTTCACTCTCATTGTTACAGTCTCGCCTGAGGCATTTGCAGCTCTTCAGAGTCCAATCACAGCTCAGAGGACACCTAACCACCCTGGGCGCAGAGTCACCAACTAGCGAACAGGTCTGGTCCTCAAAGAGGCTTTTTTAATCTTTTTAAATGTTTATTTTTGAGAGGAGAGAGAGCGCGCATGCGTGCATGAGCAGGGGAGGGGCAGAGAGAGAGAATCTGAAGCTGGTGGCAGGCTCTGAGCCATCTCAGAGCCCGACGCGGAGCTTGAAATCGTAAAACATGAGATCATGACCTGAGCTGAAGTCAAGCGCTTAACCGAGTCACCGAGGCACCCAAGAGGCTTTTATATATATCGATGTTCACAAACCCGCAGCAAACTGCAGGCATCCTTGCATTAGTTCATGTTGTACTCATCTACTCTGTTCTACATTTTTACACAAAATCCTGTTGCATTTTTGGGGGAAAAAATTACTACCTTTTTGATGACATACTAAAGATTCTGCAATATTAAACTAGAAAATGTTAACACTGGGGCGCCTCGGTGGCTCAGTCGGTTAAGTATCTTGACTTCAGCTCAGGTCATGATCTCACAGTCCATGGGTTCGAGCCCCGGATCAGGCTCTGTGCTGACCGCTCAGAGCCTGAAGCCTGTTTCAGATTCTGTGTCTCCCTCTCTCTCTCTCTGCCCCTCCCCCGCTCTCTCTCTCTCTCTCAAAATAAACTTAAAAAAAATTAACATTAAATTTTACATCCTCTTGCTGAGGTAATTTTTAAAAATCTTCCTTGACAATGGCATTTTTAAATATTTAACCAAGGATGTAGAAAGATTATGCTGTTTAGCAAAAATAATGTACTCGACCAATGTGTAAAGTACATATTTGGTGGGCAAAGAATAGAGCTATTCTCAAAGTCTATGAACTGTGTAAAAGTGAGATTACCAACTTAAACTGCGCTAACTAAATTCTCCTGGCAATCTTCAGCTCGGTCTTAGCTGAGGGTAAAGTAGGAGAGGTGGCCAGGAAGTGGGCCCAGTCACCACTGGAAGAGTTGAGAGACGGAGATGGGGTAGGGAATGACAAAGCCATGGTGAGCCGGGCCCAGCCTACACAGAGACAAATGGACACACGCTCTGGCGGCTGCATTAAGACGCCGAAGGGGGTAAACTTGGTGACAGTGGACTTTCCTTAAAAACAGTTTTGAGTACTGCCACTTGTAGAAACACATCGAATCCAACGCACAACTGACAAATTACTGACTAAGGTAGGTGTTCTGGGACTTCCCCGCTAGGCAACATGCATGCTGGCTAGTTGGTTCCTATCTATGCCTGTGAACCATTAACTTCTTTTTCATTCCCCCCGGATTCAAACTGACCTCTTTATTTGAAATCAGTGGTACTCGCCATGTGTTCATCTAGGAGATCCTGTTCCAAAATTGACACTTTAAAACTTGATGGGAGGTGTCAATATGAAAACGAAATTAACCTGACAAAAGGTTAAAAACAGAACAGAAACACATGCGTATTCATTTGTTCTGATGGTCATTAAACATCATTAATGTAGAAGTTGGCACCTGTAAATGTCAGAATATGTGGAGAGAACAGTGCATGGCTGTGAAGAAAGAGTATACTTTACAAAACCCAAAGATGGCCTCAGAGCTGTGGTCCGAGTCTGTGTTCCTCTAGCCCCGTGGGCCACCATCCAGATCCTTTCCACAGCTGGCGGGGCCGGATGCACCGCCTTCCTCTGGGCTGCCTCTGGCTTCGGTCCGGAGCTGGCCCTTTTCTTCCGCAGATGCACCTTCCGCCTTCTCTGCTGTCTCTGGACCAGAGACAGGCTCAGTGGACTGGCTGCTTTCAGTGCTGCTTTCTGGCGGAGTGCCTCCTCCTGGGATTCCACCAATCTCTTTGGGCTTTGCATCCAAAACAGGTAATTTATGCTGTAGGGAATTACATTTTAATTGTTTAATTAACGTAACGTGAAGGCTCAGGAATCAAACATGTTTAACAAGTTCCTATGCAGATCTGTGGCATCAAACTCGGAACTCTTTCAGATCCCAGCTCAGGTGCTGTACTGTAAGGGCGCGGACGCTACTAAGCCTCACAGAACCATACCCGGAGGGATGGGGACTGAGGATTCGGCAGGTGGTCTGTGGCCCAGATTTAGGAGAAGTCAAGAGGGCTGGTAAACGCTGCTAACTCCTCTTGCCTGCTGAGAATAACTCATTTGAATTATTTATTAAGTCTGCATTAAGTTCTGTGTGCTGGGGATACAGCAGCAACAAAACCGACAAAACCCAAGCTCTCACTGGAACTTCCAATGAGCCTGGGGCAAGAAGCAACAAATTAACAAAGTACCACACTGGGTTTAAATCAGGTGATACAGGAGTAAAGGCCTGAAGAAATGAACCATGCGAATATAGGGGAACGGCATTCTAGACAGGGAACAGCAAGTATAAAGGTTCTAAGTTCACAGAATAGCGAGGAGGCTACTGTGGCTGAAGGAGAGTAAGCACAGCAGGAGGGCAGGAGGAAAGATCCATGTACTAAGGGGGGGGGGGGGTGCCTGTGGGCAGATCAAAGGAGCCCTGAGTCACTGTGATAACTAGCTTTCCCTTTTCGTGAGATGGGAAGTCACTTGAGGATTTGGGATGAGCGGTACATTACCTATTAAAGCTGAAAGGCACATCTGAAAATTTTCTAGAGGTATGCAGGTATGTTTCTTCTTCTTATAAGAAACTCCCTGCAAGGGATTCTAGAATGTCCTAGATTCTACTGGGCTCACAGCTATTTCTCAAAGGTTACAGTTGCAACTTGAACTTTGCAAATGATCATGTAAATTCCTCTCTCAAAGAGGAATGGAAATGTCCCTTTAAATGGCCCATAATGTAGAGAAAACACCTCAGCATTCTGCAGGTAGAAAGCAGAGTCTAGCCAGCCAATGAATGATACCAAAGACTTGGGAAAGTGTGATGTGGTGTGGCGCCCCGCCGCCCCACTTCCACAGCTGAATCTTTAGGGCCCTCCTGCGGGTTCCCCAGGGTTCCGGGCCTTCAGTGAGGACGTCTCTCTGAGCTCTTTAAAGGCAGAAATGTTAGTCATGCTTCCTCGTTTTTTCTAATGAATTTTATATGAACTACCACCTGTTCTAACTACTGTTACATAGTTATTTTACACAAAAATGAAATCCTGCTTTATTTCTTCTGAGAAGGCCAAACTTTTGACTAGAAAGGAGGAGAGCGTAAACAATTATATCAATTACAATATAATTAACTGTGAAAGGTGAGGGAGAAAACAATGCTTAAGCAGAGAAGCTCTGTAGGAAGCCCGCAGGCCTAGCGTGACTGGATGGCAAAATGAACAGTTGCTGACTTACACTGGGCACCGCCTTGGGCCGCTCTCTCGCCTCTGCGTCTGGTAAATCACATGCCCGGAGCACTTCAGGGCTCTTGTTGCCAGTCTTAAGTCTCAAGTCAACATCCCTCTGTCTCAAAACATCTCTTCTACCCTCATAAGTTTTGTCATAAGGGCCTTGCTCAACGGGGCCGATCGGGCCTCTATAATAGAAATCTGCATCACCTGCTCCACCATGGGGTCTATAACCAACTTCTTTCTGCCGTCCTCTGTCACCCGGCTCAAGTGCCCGGGGTGCTTCTCTCTCGGGACCAACTACTTGTCTGAGCATATTAACTGATTTTCCAGCACCATAGCAGAAACTCTAGAAGGAAAAGATACAGAGTCCTGAGTATTTAATGGCTGACTCACAATGAAATTATTCAGGATGCTAACAAAATTACCTGACTTGTGGCATTTAGAGACATAAACATATTTATTTCACCAGTGTTTCATCAGAGATCTCTTCTTTAGATTAATACTAGACCAGACCAGCTAATAAAATGTGAGAAATCATGAAGTGTTACGCACACATTTCGGCCAGCAGAACATATTCTACCTGAACTGTAACAGGGGCACTTTGGCTAAAGCCCAGAAACTTAAACCGGAAGGTACTAACTGCTAACTGCTCATCACTTATCTCTTTTCACACCCACCATGTAAGGTAATTGCTAAAAATCAGAGTTGCACATCATGATGTAAACATGCTCAGGTAGGGTGACTTTTCAACAGGCTTTGGGTCCCATTTCATGAAAAACTAGGCAGCGTTTCTCACTGTGGGGCCCAGGGACCCCTGGGGGGATGCTTGAGACAGTTTCAGGGACTCTGTGAGGCCAAACTTTTTTCTACTTCAAAGGCCTTAGTCTTCCTCACTTTTCCTTCTGAGCGTGGAATCTTCTGGGGCTGGAATGACTTCCTCACTCTGACAGCTCACCGACTGTGTGCTTGTGTGGACGTGCATTTTAAATTTTTCTTAGTTTTAATTCCTAATATGGTAAGATATCAATAAATAAAACCTCCATAAGCAAGAGCTCTTCGCGGTCCTCTGTTTTTGTTTTTGTCGTGTGGGCTTCAGTTCTTAAGAGTACAAAAGGGTCCTGAGAAGAAACAATTTGAAAATCACGGAGCTAGAGGGGCGCCTGGGTGGCTTAGTCGGTTAAGCAGTTAAGCGTGTGACTTTCGCTTAGGTCATGATCTCGCGGTTCGTGGGTTCGAGCCCTGCGTCGGGCTCTGTGCTGACTGCCAGCTCAGAGCCTGGAGCCTGTTTCAGAGTCTGTGACTCCCTCTCTCTCTGCCCCTCCCCTGCTCACGCTCTCTCTCTCTCTCTCCTAGAAATAAATAAAACATTAAAAAAAATTTAAAAAAAGAAAAAAAAAAGAAAAAAAAAAGAAAATCACGGAGCTAGAGAAACTATGTGAAAACAGAAGCAGTAGAAGCCCTTTCCTTAAGCAGATGAACAAGAGATGATGGTTTTCCGGCAGACGCTGGACTATGGGCACTTACCGATGGTTCGACTTACAACTGTGAGACTTCACGATGGTGAGAAAGTGACACACGCTCTGTAGAAACTGTACTTCAAATTTAGAATTTGGATCTTCTCCTGGGCTAACGATTTGGGGTACGATCCTCTCTGGCGATGCTGGGCAGGGCAGCTCCTGGTCGGCCGCGCGGGCGCAAGGATGAACAACCCTACGCTCCGATCACTCCTACCCGCACAGCCGCTGTTTCTCACTTTCAGTACAATATTCAATAAACGGGGCGAGATATTTGACACTTTACTATAAAATGGGCTTTGTGTTAGAAGATCTTGCCCAACTGCAGGCTACCACGAGCCTCTGATCCCGTTTAAGGTGGGCTAGGCTAAGCTACATGCCCTGTAGGCTGGGTGTCGAAAATGCACTTTTGACCGACTGTATTTTCAACTACTTACGATGGGTTTATCGGGACGTAGCCCCAGGTCAGTCCAGGGAAATCTGCGGTGCTACACAATTAACGTCGCCTAACAAAACCATGTCGCCTAACAAAACCATACCCTCTAAACCTGATTCCTGAAATCACGAGCCCGAAAAACAAAAACAAAACAGGAACAATTTCAAAGCAAATGAGGCGTGTAAATTTTATATCCTCAGGGAAGATAATCCTTTTTAATTTAATGATTAAACCTGGAAGGTACTGTCTGATGATTGCTCACGTGTGGTGTATATTCACACCCATCACAGAAAGTAAATGCTGAAATTTATTTAAAGTTGTAAAGTTTAAATAGCTTAATTTCTTTACAGATACAAACTTGGCTTTTCCCATGGCACATCTGAGTTCCTCGTATTTTGTTTTACGTGACAGCTGCTTTATTAGGGTAAAAGCTAAAAATCAACGATAAGAAAGCTGAAGAGGCCATGGATGAATGACGAGTAATGTTTCTATGTGATAAACATCTGTTCCCGGATCCCCAAACAGTATTCAGTACGCCACCTTCTTCCACGTCCCTGCCGGCTTCCATTACAGCCAACGCTCTTCCCTGCTCGGTGCTGCAAAAACTCAGACTGCAACAGGCCCCCCTTCTCGAAGAGGACACAAACAACTGATTCCACGTATATTAATTCACCAAGTGAACAAAGTTAAAAGGGTGTTATCATTCAAGTCCCCACCATGACACCCACAGTCAAACCTGAGAATTATCTCCTTGTTCTACATGTAAGCAAGGAATATACACAAGTATAAAAAACTGTATCACTTTAAAATCATCTTTTCATGCCATTAGGCATGATTGAGCCTCATTTACAACAGCAAAAAAAGTCTGTAATGTTAGAATTGCCTTTTTCCGGCAAGTCCCGTTAACAGCCAACGGTGCTCTGTACTAACCAGGACAGCCAACGCCATAGTGATCAGCACGGGGATGTGAAGGATCACGGGGATCTCCTTCATGAGCGCTTTAATAAATTCACCGCCTCCTTTTCCAATGTGTTTCAATGGCTCCGTGACAAAGTTGGTGAATGTAACTGCCAGTGCCTAAAACAAGATATAACAGCGACTTAATTTTTCCCTCAAATGATTGAGCGCACAGAACATGCCAAACTTTGCATGCACTGGGATGAGACTATGTTCATAAGCTGAAATGCTTTTTAATCTAAAAATCATTTGTAATGCAAGTATTTTTTCTAAAGCAAAGGTTTACTATTAGCAAAATGACTGTGAAAACACTAACTTTTAATAAACACAAGGGATTTTTGACTTTGCAGAAGTAATTTTGACAAAACGAGTTCTTTACCTTTGTTGGTGGGACCAACCAAATAGGGTTGACTAACAAGAGCTCATAGTATTTTTGGCACGGGTCATCCTTATAGGTCCATGAACTTCTAACCACTTCTATTTAGAGACACAGACAAAACAGTCATTTAAAAAAAAAAAAAAAAGCTGCATTTCATTCCCAAATAAGACAACATCTTGGTTTTGTCCCTGACCGGGGTTAAACGCTGTACAAACAGACTGCCTATAACACTGACTTACACATTTTTCACCTTTGTCCAAAATGTTTTTCAAAATCCCTTCAAATCATTCAAGTCTTAGGCAGATAAAACATATTTTATGAAAATTTCTAAAAAGTATTAAAAACTGTTCTTAATACATACAAATGAATCCAAGTAAAACTGGGGAAATGAGAGACCACTGGATTATGTGGACGTTAACATCCTGGCCGTGACGCCGTGTTGCCGCAGTTGTGGAAGATGGTCCCACCGGGGGGAATGAGGGAAGGGGGCACAGGACCTGTTTTATGGACCTGTAGTTACCTGTGCATCTAGAATTGTCTCGATAAAATTTTGATTTTTATTTATTTTGAAAGAGACAGCATGAGTGGGAGTGGGGCGGAGAGAGAAAGAGAGAATCCCAAGCAGGCTCCACGCTGCTGGTGCACAGCCTGTTTGGGATTTCCCTCCCCACCCCGCTCGGCTTGCATGCTCTCTCTCCCTCAAAATAAACAAACATTAAAAAAAAGACACCAATTCGTACATTACAAAATAAAGAATATTAGTTTCTCCCAATTTTTCTAAATGTTATGTCCATCGTATGGACAGCACACTGCACACCCGCCTGAGCCAGAGGACGCAGTCGGCTGTCCCCCGCGGCCAGGAAGCAAGGCTGCATTAGTTTAGTTCCCATAACTTTTGAAGAGACGCTAATTTGGACACCCTGCTGTGTGCAATCCACGGAGATTCTATTCTGGGTCAGTTATTATAGATGTGCATTTATAAGGTGCCTTTGAACACTAAGCCATTCCTACTGCTAGATATGCAGAATTAAAAGAGAGTCAACACGAGTGAGAATGTTTATAAAGTCTGTGAGATAAAAACTAAAATAATTTTCCTCTTAGTTAAAAAATGTAAAGTTACATTTCATATAAGGTTTCATAAGTCATTATCAGGAGATTGTGTCTAAGCTGGATACTAATTTATATAAATACTGCTTCACTTCTTTAATAAACATGCCAGACCCTCTTCCTAAGGACTAGATGAACGACCTGAGCATAGGCTCCATCACAGTCCAATGGAGAAGACAGGTGACAAGTGACACCGGAGCCGGCCAAGACAGGTCCTATTCCTTCCCTGTGACTTTACAGGAGCACAGGAGTCACGGTCTGAAACCTGACTCCTCTTGCATGTTCTTCTGAACTGAAGATTCACTCAGTCATGGGAAGCCTCCTTCCGGCATTCTATCACTTCTCTAATTACTAATACGTTCTCTCCTTCTCGGAAATTCTACCCAAAATAAGGCCCAGTGAGCCAACACCTTACCCCAAAGACTTCCGACCCAGTCCATCTTCTCAGCACACACATTGTTCAAAGGCTCCATCTTGGCAACCTCGGCTTGATGCTGTGCGAAGGCTAGCTGACCAACACCAAAAGGGAGCTGTGAGTGGCTGCTAATGTGAGGTCATGTCTACATATCCAAAAACCTTACTTCAAATCGTGTCTTTACCAGATGCCAGACTGTTCACATTTTTTTGAAACAAAAAAGTACATATTATTTTAAAATAGTAGCTCTTTTTCACTCACGGCAAAGCACAGTCCTTTTTTTTTCATTAAAAAAAAATTTTTAACGTTTATTTTTACGAGAGAGAGAGAGAAAGAGACAGAGAGAGAGGGAGAGACAGAGCACAAGCAGCTGAGGGGCAGAGAGAGGGAGACACAGAATCTGAAGCAGGCTCCAGGCTCTGAGCTGTCAGCACACATCTGGAAGTGAGTCTCGAACCCATGAACCGTGAGATGGTCACCTGAGCCAAAGATGGATGCTTAACCTACTGAGCCACCCAGGTGCCGCCAAAGCACAGTCTTAATACAAGGGAGGATAAAGAACTACAGCTGCCTTCTTTGTAAATCCTTTGACAAGAATGGAAAACGTTTCTACTGAAAAGATTGTTTTAAAAAATTAGTTCAAATATAATTCACAGCACACCCCAAAATATATATATTAAATATCTCTCATTTTCTTTTTACAGTTCACAATAAAATGTTTTGCTCTGGATGATTTTCAGCACAAACGGTCTATATAAAGAAAATATATCTTTTATATACCAAAAACCCTGAGGGAAATCACCAAAATAACAATATTCAACCAAACTTTCTTCCTTTAATCTGTAAAAAAATTAGCTCTGGAAGCGATAGGACTTAGAGCAAAAAGTTAAAGATGTATCACAATGATTTAAATCAGATAAATGCATCGAAAATGTTTTGCTACCTGACTCACCCTGCTAGAAAGATCTAACACTGCCCTTCAATGGTCATGCTATTTTGGCAGGAAGAGTAGTGTTCCACTTGACTTTCTATATTCAGTATGATCCCAATTTTGAAAGAATTGAAACTTATTTTTTTTTAATTATTTTTCATGATTTATTTTTGAGAGAGAGACAGAGCATGAGTGGGAGAGGGGCAGAGAGAGAGAGAGAGAGACACACACACACAGAATCCAAAGCAAGCTCCAGACTCTGAGCCGTCAGCACAGAACCTGACACGTAGCTCAAACCCATGAACTGTGAGATCCTGACCTGAGCCAAAGTCAGGTGCTGAACTAACTGAACCACCCAGGTGCCCCGAAAGAATTAAAATTTAGAAAAAAGACTGGAAAGAAATATCTCAAAATACTGCCAGAGATTATCTTTAGGTGATAAAATTATAAGTAATTTAAAAAAATCAAAGCTCTCTGTGTATCTTTTCTAAATTGTCTACCATCAACAAACGTACTTTCACATTCAAAGAATAACCAAACTTTCAAAAAATAATCTTTTGGTATCTTTTCTAGCAAAGAATAAAAGGACATATCCCTAAATTACCTACATTAAATCTTTAAAAACGTATCTACCTAGCTTTATTCTGATTTAGCTGCCCAGTTGCCACCTGTCAGGAACTGGGCTGTGGAAATGAGGACCAAGCCAACTGGTCAAGGACCCAAAACAGCAGGTGCAGGTGTGCAGCTGCCCATTTCCTCCCCACCCCCCCGCCTCCAACTACTGCCTCCAGCCCTGCATGAGGTTACAGATCAGCTCTCCATGCACTGTAGTCTTCTTTCATTATGAAGTGACATTTGAAAATTTTAAAACCTCCCGCCTATTTAATACCTTATATAAATACATCCAATTCCAGCCCAAGCTGACGAGAAAACTGATGAATAAAACCCGTCTCAACTGGGTGTACCAATGCACGTACGTCCACAGCTCGGTAGCCACCAGCGCCACGATGCAGAGCAGACACAGAAGCACCTCAAAAACAGGAAGAAGGGGAAAGCGGAGTCACTGTCACGCCACCCTCCCCACCAGGAGATGGGAGCCGTCAACCAAAACCAAACCGGGGGTACTTCTCACCAGCACGGCAGCACTGTCTCCGTACGGGCTCCAAACACATGATGGTGGAGATGGTGGAGATCTTAAGGGAGTTTTACAAGACAAACTGTTAGGTACGTCCCCCTCGTGCCATCTTACCATCAACACGTTATACGGATCCACTCCAAAGGAGTCTTCAAATCGCCACTTCCATGTCTCAAAATCGTGAAACTTAAAATTGATTAAAATATCACTTAGTGCATCATCCAAGGCTCCGGGCTTCCAATCTTCTCCGCTGAGGAACTTCTGTATTTCTAACAAGGTTTGTCTTTTTAGGATAATCTCAGCATCATAATGCATATCATCTTTGTTTTCTTCGGGCTGAATTAAATTTGCCAAAAACAAACAAGAGAAGAGAGAAACATTTTAAGACAAAAGCCAATCTGGAACTAAATAGGTATGTGGTTTTTATTTCATATGGGTAAGAGTCATACTATCCACCTATTTTCCTCACATAAAAACCAGAGATTTTGCTCTATAAAGTCACCTCGGACGCTAGTCAACAAATGCTGAACCGTGGCTCACGCAGGTATACGTGGTCAGGTTCTAAACAACGCATTTTCATCAGCCTGCCAACACAGAACCCTTTAATGTGTTTCTATTTAAAGATACCGTATTTAATGTTGCTGACTACACTGAACTCACAGGCAACAACACTCTACCTCATGCCCAAACGGAGCTGATCTCACACGCGCATTCTTCTCTGTAAGACACACCCCAGCCCTCTCGTGCTAAGACGCACTGGACAGCACTACTCTTGGGAGTTTTGTTTTGGTTTTTTGAGAGTGTGTGAGTAGGGGACAGTGGCAGACGGAGAGAGAAACCTAAAGCAAGCTCCACGTCCAGCATGGAGCCCAACGTGGGGCTAGATCCCACAACCATGAGATCACCACCCGAACTAACAGCAAGAATCGGAAACTGAACCAACTGAGCCAACCAAGTGCTCCTACTCTTGGGTGTTATTTAAAAAAAAAAAAAATTTTTTTTTTAACATTTATTTTTTGTTGAGAGACAGAGAGAGAATGTGAGCCGGGGAGGGGCAGAGAGAGAGAGGGAGACACAGAATCGGAAGCAGGCTCCAGGCTCTGAGCGGTCAGCACGGAGGCCGACGCGGGCCCCAAACCCGTGAACCATGAGATCCTGACCTGAGCTGAAATCGGATGCTTAACCGACCGAGCCACCCAGGCGCCCATCTTGGGCGTTATTTTAACCAGCCAAGTAACAACATCAACAAAAGTGTGAAATACGTGGCACTAAAGAAAGCACAAAAAAGTCATTGTTAACAGTCAGAGAACTGAAACAGGAAGACAGAAGACGGCGTTGTGCAGCCTCAGCTGGGAACGGAACGGGGGGCACCAGGCAACTCAACTGCTGTGCTGCCCCGGCATCTGCGCCCCTCGGCAGCTCCGCGGGGATGAGCCCTGGGCTCACAGAGACAGTTCGGTGGGTGCGCCAATTCGCAACTACCGAATCCGCAAATAACGAACATCAGCTGCTTACTTTAGGATTCACTTGTGACTTTCCGTTTGCTGACTGAATTTTCAGAGAGCCTAAAATATGCAGTAATACAAAAGAGAAAAAGAATCTCAAAAAGCAGCCAAATTGGGAGTTTCTATGAACATACGTATTTATAACTATTTTTATTAGCATGAATTCAGGTTGGCAAAACCGTTACATTTTACTTTCATTAACCAGTTAAAAAACAGAATATTCTTTTTTTCTTTTTTTAAAGAATATAGATATCTATACATATATTTTTAAGAATACAGATATCTATATAAAAAGATATACAAGATCAGAAGAAAACAGTGTCCTGTAACATCACAAGTTGTCACTGAGTGTACAATATCAGTCATCGATTACTATTTTTAAAAAAACACTAAATTAAATATTTCTATCATAGGTCATTTTCTGCCTTCATCTGTGTCCTCACCCCACACATTTGTAAGACTTGAATTAAATGGTGCATGTATGAGAACATCTGCTTTTTCACTTCCAAAATAAGGTGGGATTATTAAATATTCATCTAACATTCCTTTCCCCTTTAAACTTTTCTTGATGTTTAAGGGTGCCTGGGTGGCTCAGTCAGTTAAGTGTCCAACTTCAGCTCAGGTCATGATCTTACAGTTCGTGGGTTTGAGCCCCGTGCCAGGCAGGCTCTGTGCTGACAGCTCAGAGCCTGGAGGCTGCTTCGGATTCTGTGCCTCCCTCTCTGCCCCTCCCCTGCTCACACTCTGTCTCTCAAAAATGAAAAAAACGTAAAAAAAAAAACAAAAAACCCCCACTTTTCTTGATGTTTTGACTCCCCAGAGTGAAAACAAGGACTCTAAAAGCTGGAATCCTAACATTGATTATGAACACTATGCACATGACATGGAATTGTATAAAGTAATACCTGACACAGTAAAAAGCTTCAGTGATGGGGGGCGGTGCTACTAAAAAACACTGTTCTCTTTCTCAACACAGAATGATCTCACATTGTAAGAATGAGAAAGTGTGGAAGTGGGAGAAAACAAGGGCAAGCATAGATTTCCCTTGCCAAGCCATGAACATATTATATTTCCAACCGTTTAGTAATGTTCAAACAGCAAGTTTACAGCACCTTCGCCCCCCATGTGAAATTAATACATAATGAAAAGATCCGCCACACGGATGAGTATCACACCAATACTTACAAGTCCAAGCTTTCTGGCTTCAATCAAAATTTTATTTAAGTATCTCCTAAAAACAGGATTGCTTTGACTTTCATAGTCTTCCTGCTTTTTCTTTTCACACTCACCGATCTGTAATCACAGAATAAATTCAATGTTAGTTAGCATCAAAGGTGAATGTAAGGGTCAAGTTTCTAGCCTAGAGATCCCATCAAGATCAAGGTAGCAGCTTGCGATTCTCAACTATATGAAAATGTAGAACTTCCTACTTTCTGGGGGTTCTCCTTGCAAAGGGCAGGAAGGCAACCAATGAGCAAATGTGTATTCTACACTTAGCTCTGACTGGCAGAGACTGTTTATTTTAAACAGAGTGTTTATTTTAAAAGAACAACCAGGAAGCAAGAAGGCAGAGATGCTGATGAGCAGAACATCCAGGACCATCTGCCTCTTCCCAACTCCAAAGTAGTGATTCGATGAACAAAGGAACAAAAGAAAAAAGGAAGGGAAGAAAGAACAGAGAGAGAGAGAAACACAAGAGGAAGCCAGAAGCTGAAACGAAGGGCCCAGAAGGGAGTTGCTTGCGTGTGCATATTACTTGTGGCCTCGTGGACTTTTATCATTTTTTCCTGTAAGTGACTGATCATCCCCAATTCTATGGGCTACTTCAGGAGGGCAGGGACATGGCTTCTCCAGTGTCCTACACACGGCAAACCCCTCAGCACGTAATTCATCATTTCCTCCGATGTGGTGTTTCCTCTGATGTGGTGGTTGCTCTACAAACACCACAGTGGTCAAGTCGCTGAGTGAGGGCAGTACCCATCTTACAGACACCAGGACCTGTGATAAGCAACTTCTATTATCTGAGTGTGGACCGTGAGCTGAGTTAGCATGGAAACGGGCTTCAGGTGATAAACACAATAACTGAGCATTACACATAGACTTAGGGCAGAAGGACACTTGAGAAGTCACGTAGCAGTTTTCCCTGCTTGCAGGCAAGGTTTACAAACCTTTTAAATTTTTAAGAGAATGTGTTTTTTTTTTTTTTTTTTTGAGACAGGGAATGAGAGCATGGCCATGAGCGGGGGAAGGGCAGAGGGAGAGAGAATCCCAAGCAGGCTCCATGCTGTCAGCGCAGAGCCCGACTTGAGGCTCCATCCCATGAACTGTGAGATCATGACCTGAGCCAAAACTAAGAGTTAGATGCGTAACTGACTGAGTAATCCAGGTGCCCAAAAGAGAATTGTTTTCTTTATTTTTTTAACTTTTTTTTAACGTTTATTTTTGAGAGCAAGAGAGAGAGAGCGCACGAGCATGGGAGAGGGCCAGAAAGGATCCAAAGCAGGCTCCACACAGTGAACGCAGAGCCCAATGTTGGGCTTGAACTCACGAACTGTGAGATCATGACCTGAGCCAAAGTTGGCCACTTAACTGACTGAGCTACCCAGTGCCCCAAAGAGAATGTTTTTTAAAACAAGAACTCAAGATTCCATTTTGCCAATCATATTTTTACAGTGTTGAATCCATGTTGCAAAGAATGGAATGAAAAATTTCTGTAAAAAGGCATTTCAGCGTTTCCTAGTGTGCAGCCAAACAAACTCACGATGCTATGAAACACTGTTAAAGTGAGGCAAATTTCATCCAAGCATTGCTTTGCTGGCACTTGGAGAGGCAGCATTCACAGCTGGGAAGCACCACGGCAGCGCTTACAGATCTGGAATCAAGATCTCCGGTCACAGCTCTCCCAGTCTCTCAAGCTGGAAAGCTCCCTCCTTCACTCCATCCCTCTCCCTTCTCCTTCAGCCACCCAAGTTGCCTATTCGACCTTGGAGAAGTCCAGCATTTCCCTCTTCAACCCTTGTCACTGCCTCGGTTGGGGGCATTCAGCCCTGCTGGACCCTTGTCACCCTCCTCTCCTCCTGAGGCCTCTCCACGGGGCCACCAACTCATGGCCTCCACAGCCAAGGGGCTGGTTCCCACCCCACAACACACATTCAAACCCCTTAATGATCGTGACATTTCCTTTCTCATCATATCTACTTCAGCCTCACAAATAAAAGGACTGAATACATGAATAGCTACCACACACTAGATTATAATAATCCCTTATATTTGCAAGAGGAATTCTTACACTCATCAGGTGGTCATAGGCCCATTTCTTCCTGGGCTACATCTGTCATGACTCTACTATGACCAAGCACTGTGACAGGTGACAGAGAATCAAAAATGACTAAAATAGGGATGCCTGGCTGGCTCAATCGGTAGAGCATGCAACTCTTGATTGTAAGTTCAAGCCCCATGTTGGGTGGACAGATTACTTAAAAGTAAATAATTAAAAAATACAATCTTAAAAAAATAAAACATATTCTTTATCCCTAAATGCTTAGTCTCATAAAGAAATAATGAGTGAACATTATGAACATGGTGAAATAAATGTTATTATAGGAAAATAAAATTACTCTTTAAAAAAAAAGGTCAGAGTAACTAAAGAAAAAATTATATATAAATTGTATAATACATACACAGAAACACATATAATGTTAGCAAAGACAGGAAACAGAGTAATTTAACATACTATAAATATAAAATTCATGAATTAAAAAAATTCCAACCTTATGAGTTAAAGAATCAAGTTTGCTATAACATTCCGACAATTCATCAGCACATGACAAGTCAGGACTGACTTCTTTTTTCCCTTCACCATATTTCACCTAAAGCAAAACAGAGATTTTATTTCTGTTATAGTTCAGTTGTAAAACCTATAGTTAAGACTAAAATTTGACTTCATTCTATGACTTGGTTCTATTCTTCAACTGTATTGATCAATCAAAAAGGAGTCTGAAATTTCTATACTAAGAACTAAAATCAAATTAGTTGCTGCTCAACGGGCTTTACGTTCCCATTCAAAACAGAAATAACCAGGTGGGGTTGAAATTATCCTAGATTAAGAAGGTCAGGGGGATAATCTGCCCAGCTACTAGTCACAGATACACAACTCTCACAACTCTGTGAAAAACAGCAACAGAAGACGCTTATTTCCAGTATAGAACTGAGAAGGTCTTACAGACACACACATGCCTTTTTTTTTTTTTTTTTTAAATACCTGAGATTTTCTCATTGTTCCTGAAGCAGCATCATAGTTAAGCATGTCTGTGGGATCAATCCAGTCATCATCATAAGCATAACCGGTCATAAGCCACAGACATTCGCAAAGCAGCAGAGAATACAGCATCCCGCCTGAGAGCTAAAAAAAAAAATTTAACAGATATAATGAAATAGAATTATTTTGAGAAGACATGGTTTTGTAATAAAGGCTATCTACTTCCTTCTAGTGCTAAGATAATGCTTTCTTTCTGAATAACTGAAATAAGAATACTCAGTAAAATGGTATTCACATATACACACATATTTTTGCCAAGACAAAAAGAAAATAAGAATTTTTCATATGATGCAGAATTCTATTCCTAGGTTTATATCCAAGGAATGAAAATACCTATCCACACAAAAACTTGTACACAAATGTTTATAGCCACATTATTCACAACAGCCAAAAAGTAGAAACAATTCAAATGGCTGTCAACTGATGGATACCTAAAATGTGGGCTGACCATACACAGGAATGTGCTTAGTCTGTGGGAAGGAATGAAATACCGATACATGCTACAACTTGGATAAACCTTGAAAACACTATGCTATGTGAAAGAAGCCAGTCACCAAGGACCATAACATGATTCCATTTATGTGAAATGTCCAGAACAGGCAAATCTACAGAGACAGAGAGCAGATTAGTAGGTCCTCAGGGCTGAGGATATAACAGAGGGTTGGTAGTTAAATGAAACAGGCCTTCTTTTTACGGTGGTGAACAATAAACCAAAACTCAATGTGGTAATGGACGCACGTATCTGTGAATATATTAAAAACTGAAGAGTCGTGCTCTTTAAAAGCATGAATTGTATAATATGTGAATCATTTATCAGTAAAACTGCTTTAAAATAAATAGGTATTTAACCAAACCCTTTCTCCCCAGTTTTTTTTAACACATGGAAATTAGAAAGGTATAAAATTAAGATTCAAGTGAGGTGACTCAACTCCCAAACCATTCAGAGAAAATAACCCGCTTCATCTAAGCCTCTGCAGAAACACTGTCAAATCACTTTTTTTAAGTTTATTTATTTTGAGAGGTGGAGGGTGTGGGAGGACCAGAGAAGAGACAGAGAGAGAGAGAGAGAGAGAGAGAGAGAGAGAGAGAGAGAGAGAGAGAGAGAAAATCCCAAGCAGGCTCCACATTGACAGCACAGAGCCCAATGTGGGACTCAAACCCACAAACTTTGAGATCATGACCTGAGCAAAATCAAGAGTCGGATGCTCAACCGACTGAGCCACTCAAGTGCCCCAAATCATTTCAATACTTAATACTCCTTCTATTCAACACTGTCCAATGCAGTAAACAACCAAGCGCATGTGGCTATTTAAATTTAAGTTAAATTAATGAAAAATCCAGTTACTCATTCACGCTAGCAACTTTTCAAGTGTTCACACACCCCCATGTGGCTAGTGGCTGCCATACTGGACAGTACTGATACTGAACAACCCATCACTGCAGAAAGTTCTGTTGGATACCCTATCTTATTCCTACTATGAATAAAAATCAGGTAAGAGAATTCTAAGACAAGAAAGCCCTGCGTTTATAGTCTACCTGTAAAAATAAAGTCACTCCCAGTGAAATGAAACACTCCTCATTGGTGCCACTGAGTGCTCTGTTTATTCTAGCACAACACACATAGAAATGAGCCACTCACTGGCCAGTCTCCTCTGCTGGCACAGTGGGTGCCCATCTTGACGGTGTGTTTAGAATCACCTGACAAGCTTCTAAAAATCCCAATCTTCTGGCCATATCTCAGACCAATTACATCAGAATCTCTAAGAGTGGGACCCAGGCACTGGAATTTTAAAGTACCTCAGGTGGTTCTGATATGCAGCTGGGGTGGAAAAGCACTGTGCTATAAAGTGAACTTTTCCAGGGAAGGGAGTATCTTACTCTAATTGGAATTCGCCTTCCTGATGGCTCTCCGTCTTGTCCCCTCCACCTCTCCAAGCCCAAAGCCTGAGAGACGGCGCCTCAGAGATACCCAATAAATGTTAGGCTGCAAATGGTCAAAGCCGTACAGGGATGCACAAGGTTTTAGAGGTTCAAAGGGTGAAGAAAGCACATCTGGGAGACACAGGCACGAGTTCATGGAGGAATGGGCGTGGGAAACAGACTGGCAAGTATAGGTAACATGCTAAGAATGAGAGGTAAGGGAGGCAGAGGAGCAAAGTGAACCTTCGAAAACCATCAATTAGCGGATGGACATGGTGGGAGATGGACCGGGAGATGGTGGGACAGCAACGCTGCAGTGACAATGCCCACGTGAAGAGCTATGGCCAACCTTACCAGCCAACAGTGGCTTTCAGTGACATGGGCGCTACACTTGGAGAAGAGGGAAGTAGCACTAAGTGTACAGAATGAGGGGAAAATTGGCTTCAGAGTCTCCTCCAAGGAGGCTGAAGTAGCAAAAAGATGCTGAATCACATTCTGAATGTCAGCCCTACAGGCCTCAGCCACTGAACGCACGTAAGAGGAAAGATGTGTAAGCATGGCCAAGATTTCAAGGCTGACCAACTACAAAAACGTGGTATTAACTTCAAAAAGAAATTCAGAATAAAAACATGGTTTGGGGGGAAAGTTCAGCATTCACTTGTACACCATTTACTAAATACCTACTGGATACTGGGCACGGTCTTATGTGACAGGGATAACAAGAAACTAGACCGGCCATGATTTGTTAAGAAGCTACATGGAATAAGTCAGGCAGAGAAGGATAAATACCATATGTTTGCTCGTATAGGAGGATTAGGAGGAACTTAATGGAGGACCATGGGGGAAAGGGAGGGAGGCAAACCATGAGAGACTCTTGAATGCTGAGAACAAACTGAGGGCAGATGGGGTAGGGGGAGCAGAAGGGGGGTGATGGGCATGGAGGAGGGCACTAATGGGGAAGAGCACTGGGTGTTACATGGAAACCAACTTGACTAATAAACTATTAAAAAAAAAAAGAAGCTACCATGGGGGTACATGGGGATGGGAGACAGGAGGAGACAATAACCTGACCAAAAAATAAATACGATTTCAGGTAGTGATATTGCTGTGAAAAAAAATGAAGCAGGGCAATGGTATGAATGGGTTAGGAAATGTGGAGTATTTTAGGGAAGGCCTCTGAGGGGATTAAAGATAGCCACAAATTCTGTCAAGTCCCCAGCAAGAGATGGAGTTTATTTTCCCTCCTCCTGAATCTGGGCTAACCCTGCGACCACTGCCAACCAAGAAGAGAGGAAGAACTGGTACACGAGCATTTATTTCGGGTTTAGAACTGTAATTTGGGGAGCAGCCCAAATTGTGGCCCCACTGCAGGGAAAACGTTAGGGGGTTTTATAAGAAAAAAGAGGAAACACAAGATACCTTACATCAGTTGTTTCCCAAGAATTATATTTGAATTATTATTACAATTTACAATTTATTCGTTTCCTGGGGATATTATATTAGTTGCTAGCAAAGTCCCTTTTGCAGAATGACCAATTTTTGTCAAACATACAGATACAGTAGTCAGGTGCTCAGTCATATGCCCTTGCCCAGTTCAACAGTGGGATGCAATTCCTGTTTCAAAAACAGAATGAATGGGGCACCAGGGTGGCTCTCAGTTGGTTGAGCATCTGACTCTTTGAGTTCAGCTCAGGCCATGATCCCAGACTTGAATCCCACACAGAGCCTGCTTAAGATTCTCTCCCCCACTGCCCCCATCTCTCCCGGCACCCCTCTCACCCACTTGCATTCTCTCTCTAAAAAAATTTAAAAAAAATTTTTTTTAAACACGATGAAGTTTCAGTCACAAAATGGAGTCTCTTATCCACAAATGTTTTACACAGGTTCGCAATATTTAGTCAAAATACTGTGGCAGAAGTGATGCTGTGCTGGTTCTGGGCTGGGCTTGGCCTCTCTGAGGCCCAGCTGCTCCTACTTCATCACTCTGGAACACCTGCTCCTGGCCCTCGGCTGCCATGCTGTGAGAAGACCTAGCCACGTGGAGGGGCACACGAGGCTCCCAGCTGGCAGCCAACATCAAGAGGCAGCCATGGGAACAAGCCATCTTGGTAGCTGCAGTCCAACCCACGGTAACAGACCTGTGACCCGGCCAACATCATGTGGAATAAAAGAACTACACAGGTGAGTCCAGTCAAGCCCTATAAGCCCACAGAATCATGAGAAATAGTCAAATGCTGAAATGCTTCCACACGTGGAGGTGGTTTGTTACACAGCAGTAGAGAACCGCAATGACACGTAAGCAGAACGCGATAAGGAGCTAACCTCAGGAAGACTTGGGAAAAGAACATCTGGAGAGCGGGCACAGCAAGCATGAAGATCAGAGTGGAGAGAAAATTTGAAGCATTCAAAGACAAGCAGGAAGGTCAAGGTGGCACAGTACCCCAGGCCCCAAAGCACTCCCTCGGCTCCTGCTTCCTTCCATGATGAAGTAACAGAGGCCACATGTACTCTCCTGCATGAGAAACCAAAACCTCTGCACAAAATCTATGAGAAAACAGTTTTCAAGACATTGGATACCAGGGGAGCAAGTGTAACTGTCTTTGAAAAATGGGAAACTGGGGCGCCTGGGGGGCTCAGTCAGTTAAGAGTCCAACTTTGGTTCAGGTCATGTTCTTGCAGTTCATGAGTTCAATCCCTGTGTGGGCTCTGTGCTGACAGCTGGGAGCCTGGACCTGCTTCCGATTCTGTGTCTCCCTCTCTCTCTGTCCCTCCCCCACTCACACTCTGTCTCTCTCAAAAATAAATAAACCATTAAAAACAATTTTTTTTTAATTAAAAAGGAAAATGGGAAACAAACACAGGCAGCCCTTCCACTGCCCCAGCTTACGGTCTTAACAGTTTCCAGGTCACAATCACAGGGAGAGGGAACTCAGGCAGAGCCCAGAAAGCTGAAGAAACGGAGCTGAGTATCTGGGGGGACCAAGGCATAGAAAGCTGAGGAAACAGAACCCCAGAGATGTGCAGAGGCCCCTGCCATATACTAAAGGATATCTAATCTTTGACCACAGCTCCTCCAAATGCCCTAGGAATTTCCTGCGTGACAGCAGTGTCTTCTGTGATGAGGTACTAATGAGGTGACTCTGCTGGGTCCCAGATAGCTTGAG